TTCATTGTCGTCCAATTTTAGTATCGACCAAATTGTATTTCTGTCATCATGGTTGTTGAAGTTTCGATGACGTATGTCGATGCAAAGGCACGGATGGTTCGTGCCATTGCAAAAGTCAGCGCCTTTGTCAAGGCTGCCGGCGAGTTTTCATCTGATAAAAATAGTCCTGGTAAACGAGCAAAAATTTCAGCCATGCTATTGGAGCTGAAAGAAATTCGCTTGACTGCAGAATCCGACATCCAAGTTATGGAGATTTCTGTTGGCAAAAAATTAGCACCAATTGAAGTGGTAGATAACTCTATTAGTCTCAAGCTCTCTGCTGAGTTTGATAATTTGTACTACGAGTTGGTTGCGTTTGCAGATGTTTATAACCTTCCATTGACTCAAATTGTCGACTCATCCTCTTGTCAGTCAGTACAAAATAATTCAGCCAGTTTCGGAAACCTCTCAACTTACAAATTTCCAACACGGAAGTTTCCTACATTTTCTGGACTTCTGACTGAATGGCAGGGTTTCGAAGATTTGTTCACGTCAATTCTATCCCATGCCCCAGCTGATCTTACGGACGTCGAGCGATTCGAGATTTTAAAAACTTCGCTGGAAGGTGAGGCCTTGACGCTTATCGCACATATTCCTTTGACATCGGTAAACTACCAAAAGGCTTGGGAAGTATTACGTTCGCGATACGGAAATAAGCGTGACTTAGCTCGTATCCATCTGGATGCTCTGTTATCCCCACATACAGTCAAGGCAAACGACGCGTCTTCAATTAAAACTCTAATCACATCTATTCAAGAGCACACTGCTGCCTTGGATAATTTGGACTTTATTACGAGGCAGTGGAGCCCAATTTTGGTCCACATATTTGAAAATCATTTGGATTATGACCTCCGAGCGCGTTGGGAGATAACTGTGGGTGACCGACATCAACCGTCGACTGCCGATTTTCTTGAATTTCTCAGAAGTCATGTACGATCCGCGGAAGCACGTGCTGGACAGTACTCGTCGAGTCTGACGTCGTTCACGTCTCAGCAAAAACCTCCTCAAAAATCATTGACTTCCAAATCTCGTCACCCGATTGCACCAAAGGTTCTAGCTGCTACTACCAGCTCATCCACCGTGGTTACCTGTCCATTATGTACAAAACCACATACGGTCCGAAAGTGTCCAACTTTTCTTTCAAAATCACCAAATGATCGTTTCCAGTTAGCCAAGACGCACCGTTTGTGCATAAATTGTCTGGGCACAGGACATGCTACTTCATTATGCCCTTCAAAATACAAATGCACAACTTGTGATCGGTCTCATAATAGTTTGCTTCACTTTGACTCAAAGGAGAAGCCTCCCTCCTCGTCCACGGTTCTCTCAGTAGACCAACCCGAGGCTGGTCAGAGTGCCAAAGCAATGATTGTCAGAGGACAGCCTCAGAACGTAGTCTTACTCTCAACTGTCCTACTCGATGTGGTCGCTGCTGATGGCACCCGTCATTCAATTCGAGCCCTGTTCGACAGTGGTGCTCAAGCGAGTTTTATAACTGAAAAAACTGCGTGTGTGTTGATGCTAAAGCGACATCATTCGACAGTAGCCATTACCACGTTTGCCAGTAGTACAACATCCCCAGTCCGTGGTCAAACAACCATCACTGTGATGCCACGTGGCCAACAGGCACCGTCGTTTTGCGTGGACACTTACATCGTCCCACAAATCACAGGACCAACTCCACAAGCTCCTATTGTGCCGGGACAATGGAGACATATTCAAAACCTCTCCCTCGCTGATCCGTTATACCATCGTCCTCAGGCAGTTGATCTTTTGTTGGGGGCCGATATCTTGCCAATGCTACTTCTAAATGGAAAAGCCACAGGCCAGCCTGGCGAGCCCATTGCCTTCGAGACTGTTTTTGGTTGGATTCTGATGGGACCTATCGACATTAGTGCTCGGTCAACTGTCACCGCTATGTGTTTATCTGTTTCTGAAACTCTTGACTTGTCTATCAGGCGTTTCTGGGAACTTGAAGAGTTACCTGTTGTTCGCCATCTCAGTCCAGATGAGCGTGCTGCCGAGGAAATTTATAAAAATACAACAACTCGGCTGAGTACTGGACGGTTTATGGTATCTCTTCCATTTCGAAAAGCATCACCTCTGTTAGGTGATTCAAAATCTGTTGCCCTTCGCCGTTTCCAGGCACTCGAAAACCGACTGAACAATGATCCGAACCTTCAACGCCAGTACGCAGACTTCATGCAAGACTACCTGGACGCTGGTCACATGGAGCTGGTTCCACTCGAAAACACAGACAATGTGTTTCATTATTATATTCCGCATCATTGTGTACTTAGACCGGACAGTAGCACCACCAAGCTTCGTGTCGTTTTCAATGCTTCGTCTCGTACAAGTGCTGGGTGTTCCTTGAATGAGAGCATGTATACGGGTCCGAAGCTTCAGCCCGACATTCAAATTGTTCTTCTCCGTGCACGGTTGTGGAAATATGTATTCATGACAGACATCAAACAGATGTATCGGCAAATTGTGGTGCGGCCTGCAGATCGAGATTACCTGCGAATTTTCTGGAGATTTTCGAAAAATAACACAGTGCAGGAATACCGTCTCTGTACGGTCACTTACGGCACATCAGCGGCACCATATCAAGCTCTTCGTACAATTCAGGAATTGGCAATCGTTGATGGAAAATTATTTCCCATCGCTGCGTCAATTCTCCTGAACGACACCTTCGTGGATGATATTCTCACTGGAGCTAACACCGAGAAGGATGCCCTTGAATATCAGTCGCAGCTTATACAATTGTGTTCGTTAGCCAAGTTTGAGCTACGAAAATGGGCCAGCAATAACAGTAATATCTTACACGCTGTTCCCGCAGAAGCTCAAGCAATGTCTCCAGCACTCCTGTACAATGACAAAAATGAATGTGACTTAAAAATCCTGGGTTTGAAATGGGATCCGAGAGCTGACGTATTTTCATTTGATACAAAACCATCGTCAACTGACCCGACAAAGCGGTCAGTTCTCTCTGACATTGCCAGAGTTTTCGATCCGTTAGGATTGCTGTCTCCCATTACGTTCTGGACAAAACACGTCATGCAGTTGCTCTGGACCGCTGGTCTCAAATGGGATGACAAAATACCCACAGATATTGCTCAAGTGTGGACCCGATATCAATCAGAACTGAAATTGATTGAATCGATCTCTATCCCTCGTCGTATAACAGTTGAAGAAGCTACCACAGTGCAACTTCACGCTTTCTCGGATAGCTCAGAGAAAGGTTACGCGGCGGCAGTTTACCTTCGAACACAAACAGCTACTTCAGCTTATTGTCACCTTGTAACAGGTAAATCTAAAGTAGCACCTCTAAAAAAGTCTACTATCCCACGTCTTGAGCTGTGTGGAGCTGTATTAGCCGCCAAACTATTACGTTTCGTTGCTGATACTTACTCGAAGAGTCTTCAAATCGATGAGCTGCATGCTTGGACGGACTCAACCACTGCGTTAGCTTGGATACAATCGTCACCACATCGTTGGGCCACGTTCGTGGCAAATCGAACAAGTCAAATTCATGAATTCACCTCACCAGACATTTGGCATCACGTCCCCACGCAGCACAATCCGGTTGACTGTGCCTCTCGTGGACTGTTCCCGTCGGAACTTGTTGATCACCCGTTGTGGTGGACAGGCCCTGCGTTCTTGGTAGAATCACCGGAACATTGGCCAACCGTTGTCCCTCGTTCAGACAACACAGATGCTCATGTTTCCACTGAAGCTCGAAAATGTACTGTTTTCCTAACCAAGACTACATGCTCAATAACTGATGTGATGCATCGTTTCTCGTCGTTCGATAAAATTCTTCACATTGTCGCCTACTGTCTTCGTTTCTCGAAATCACGTCCTTCTGCATTCACACAGATTGTTAATGCGAGTGAACGAGAACGAGCCTTGTTGGGCTTAGTGTATTCTGTCCAACAAACATCATATTCCGAAGACATATCTTCGTTAAAAAACGGACTGCGTTGCTCCCCTGCCATTAGGAAGTTGGATCCTTTCATTGACGAAAATGGACTTCTCAGAGTGGGCGGGCGTCTCACGAATGCTGATCTTCCGTACTCTCACAAACATCCACTTCTCTTGCCATGTCAAAGTCGATTAACGTTGTTACTCATTGACTATCATCATCAGCGACTGAAGCATCCCGGATGCGCATCCCTTCAAGCGCATCTACAACGTGAATTTTGGATACCGTCTGTATGGAAGATTATTCGATCTCGGATACGGCTCTGTATCTCGTGTTTCCGCACCAGGCCCCGTGCTGTTCAGCCAAAGATGGCCAGTCTGCCGAGTTTTCGGGTGCAGCAAGTGAAACCGTTTGCAATAACCGGAGTGGATTATGCTGGACCAGTCACGTTAAAGGAAGCACGTGGACGAAGGTCGATTCCAAAGACAGCATACATTTGCCTGTTTGTTTGTACCACCACAAAAGCGCTCCATTTAGAGCTGAGTTCGGATTTGTCCACAGAATGTTTTCTGATGGCATTTACTCGATTTTCTTCCAGACGCGGACCCATCAAGGAATTACACAGTGACTGCGGGACAAATTTCGTCGGAGCGTCACGATTATTGACACCCCTACATCAATTCACTCATTCGAAAAGTTTTCAAGACAGTGTTCATCAGCACCTCGCTAAACACCAAATAACTTGGCACTTCAATCCTCCCGCATCTCCCCATTTTGGTGGTTTGTGGGAAGCCGGAGTAAAATCCGCAAAGTCATTAATTCTTCGGTCCATTGGATTGCACAAATTGACAAGTGAGGAATTTTTGACACTTCTCACTCAAATAGAGGCAACATTGAATTCTCGCCCATTGTGTGCTATCAGCAACGACCCTGGTGACTTACAAGCGTTGACGCCCAGTCATTTTTTGACTCTTGAACCTTCCACCTCGCTTCCAGAACCAAGTCTTGTCAATCAACCTATGTCAAAGTACCAGCGATGGCTCCTCAACTTCGTAGAAAATGGACAGAACCAGGTCAAAACTTGAGCGTTGGCGAGCTTGTCCTCGTGAAAGAAGCGACGCATCCTCTTCAGTGGCGGATTGGACGAATACGTGAACTCCATCCTGGCTCCGATGGGACTTCCAGAGTGGCCACTTTAGAAACTACTTCTGGACCATTGACACGCCCAGCTGTCAAGCTCTGTCCACTCCCAATGTCTTGAAGGAACATTCCTTCAAAGTGGGCGGTGATGTTCGCGCCAAGCAATTATTGCTTATCGCGGGACGCTAATCTGCGCGACGGCGACATCTTCCCTCCTCTTCCGTCCACTCATCCAGTATCTCTTGCCGTTACTATAGAGCAACGATTATGCAAATTATAATAATTGTACGATTGTTATACTTCATATTGTATATACTCTCTTTGTTTTTCTTATAAAAATTATCTGTCGGCCTTTTGCCTCAGACAACTGTTGTCAATGTTATCTCTATGAGATAAAACTTTTGTTTTTGTTATTATTATTGTTGCGGCCAACGCCCTTTTTTTGTATTGTTATTATTCAATTATTCAATTATTATTCGTGTTTTTTTGGTCCGCTATTACAGCGTCCATACGTTTTGTTTGTTTTTTATACTGTGTGATCCGCTCATATAGCGATCATTATTATTATTATTATTCATATAAATATTATTTGTTGTGATCTGCTAGTATAGCGATCCGTGAATGGTGTGTGTGGTCCGCTAGTAAAGCGAGAACAAAATAATTTCATTATATTTATTACAATAAAAAATACGATCTTCAACAAAAATTCGTAAGTCTAATTTATCATTATCTCTCTCGTCATCATCTTTGGCAGCTCGTTGTTGTCACCGTCGGTGCCGTCAGATTCCGCGCGTAAGTCCGCCAGCAACGTAGGTCTGTACGTTGTGTGAGAGGCCGCCCCAGGTCGTCCAGGTCGACAAATGCCAACAGCGTTAATCCAGTGGGTCATCTCAAGACTGCAGTAGGGTTAAGGTAGTTTTAAGTTTTATCCCTATTGTTGTGAGCTCTGTGGTCATTGCACCAAACCGAATCGGCCACAGAGACCCCCTCCCCATAACTAACCTGCACCATCCTCACTCCTACAAATAGGTCTTTCCCATCCTCGTCATTGTCGTCGTCGTGCGTAGAATTGCCTACCCACCAACTATCAGGCGAAAGCACCTAAGGTTGCCTATCAACCACAATAGTAGGCGATAGGAGTGATACAGGCAACGTCTAACACTCTCCTGATCAACAAATTGTTCTCGGGCATCACCGAGTGGTCCTTCGACTGTTACGGTTAAACTCTCGGGCGTAAACAATATCAATGACTATTAATATCAGATTCAACTCACAAGTAAATAGATCGTATGTTATCTATGATTATATAACACAATATTATTATCAGGGGTGTAAGCAGGGGTAGGGCTCTAGGGTTTTGACGGCCCGGAAATTTCTTCCTTTTACAAAAAAATCTTATTTTCACCATTACAATACATAGAGTCGATCAATGGTTGATCATTTTTAATAGATATAAAATAAATTGTTAAGTACGGCAATAATCATAGTTTCAGTTTTTTGTCTGATTTGAAACATTGCTAAACGTTGTAATTTATATCATCATGTACATCGGTTATTACCACGTTTATTACGACTCGAAGAGGCTCTACGGATGACCAGGTGTCCAGGTTAAACACTTGAGTGTTCTTAATGTAGACTAAATTTGAGACTAACTATAATTTGTAATAACTTAATATATAAAAACTGTTTAGAAAAAAATAATTATAATAATTTACTCAGGTAAAACCCTAACCAAACTAAAATCCTGCGTACGCTACTGCCTTAATTTATCAAAAATGTTCGATTGTTTTTTTCGTAGAGGTAGGCGCATATTATAAAGTACGATAACCAAACACATTGAACGGTAAATAATTATTTTATTTACAAAAGCTCAATACCTAATATCAGCTGTTGACCTATGATACTAATGTGTATAAAATAAATTCAAAATTGACACTATATTTGGTATGCACTTACCTATAAAATAGTAAGTCAACTACAGTGTCTAGGTAGTAACGCGTAGCGGTAACTACAAATTATTGTAACGAAATTACTTTGCTGCAGTAATTATTAGTTCATTATATTTTATTTAGATTAGCTCAATTTGTATCAACGATCGAGTTACGTGTTATTTTCCACGTTATTAAAAAAATGTTTTGAATGTGGAATGTGTGACAAAACCTAGAGCCTAGGATATTCGAAAAAAATTAATAGGTAATCAATTAAATTTATTAACGATTAAAACTGCATAATTTTTTAAAGAAAAAATTACGTAACGTATTAAAAATAATGACAGAATGTAATTAAAATAATAAAAGTATCTAATGTAACGAGTGACGTGATATTAGTAATTTTCAAAAGTGATTTACCTGGACTTAACTATAATAATTATGCTATTTGTTTTAGCTAATTTTCTTTGAGTTTATAATATAATATTTTATTATTTGCAAACATAATCGATTATGAACATTCGTGAGGTACCTACTATTACCTATACACATTATATCAAATGGTAGGTACTTTTAATAGTTAAAATTAGAGAGTCAAAATATTTTTGAGACTATTTCTTAGGTTAGGTCAATACTTACTGTGTACATTTTTTTAAATTTTTTTATCAAAGTAGAGTATTCTGCTCACAACCAACGAATGGCCTAAATTAGCAGATTAAATAAGTGGCGGCGATTCGAGACAGGCAATAAGCGAGTGGTCTTATCACAAATTATTTGCGGAATATTAATAACAAAGACATATAATTATAGACAAGGAATGGTAGCTATACATTGATGCAAACATGTGTGTGAGAGAGACAGACAATGTGAGGCTATTATATGCCTATTATACTAAGTTATTATCATCTCTTTGATAAATCCTCTGCAGATTTATATTATGGATCTATGTGGTGGTCACGTAAGTTTCACATATTTGTTGTCATTCCTGGTCTATTATATTATAATATTATGTCTTTGATATTACTTACTATTCATTTTTTAATTATCTATGATTTTGCAGTATGAAATAATGATCTAAATCATTAACTTATTCTATGGACATAATACGCACCTTTAACCTGTAGTGCTCGAATACGGTGGGGGGAATACAGAGGGATGGATTTCCTTTACTAAATTTTCATATTTTTTTGCGTACCCCCTTCTTTTTTCTACTTGAACGTTGGGACGGCATACAGATTTGTACCCAAAATAATTTCTATTTAAATGTGTATTTAAATTTTTGTCAGTGATATTATAGGAAAGTAACTTTGTCAGCAGCTGTTCTCGACCATTTTATATCCAAGTAGGTTACCACTAACGCAGTTTGAAAATGTTCGTGTACCACTTGAAAAAATTACCTTTTTATTGCGCATCAAAAATGTATAGGTACGTAAGTACGTTATATTATTACATGTATTGAATTTTATTTCATTAGGAACTACTTAAAACAATATGACAGTATAAGCGTTTATGGTCACAAAAAGAAAATTAATTTTGTAAAATTATTATTTATATTATTATTAATATCAAAAAGAAACCCAACAATATTTAATTGTAAATAATGACCATAATAATCCATTATATCGGGCACAGCGCCTATGAGCTTACCGACTGCAAGGACGGCACAAGGGGAGGGGCAATATTGAGGCAGTGTCCCAGGGCGCCGAATTTCGAAGTTTGTGTATGTCCTATATATGTTCAGTATAGTGCAGAGATAATATGTAGGTACAACGAACTATTGAATTATAAGATATCTGTGAATTAGCGTAGTTGACAATCGATATATTATGCATTTATGCTTCTGAACCACGAATTAAGTGGTATATAGGTGTAGGTATCACTGTTAATTATTATTATTTTTATTTCCTTCTAAAACAATAAGTGTATGTAAATCAGGGGCGTCATTTGGGGGGGTGCAGGGTGTACATTTGCACCAACATTTTTTATAAACGCCTTCTTTGGCCTGCCAACAATAAATATAAGCGCCGATATACCTAAGTGTTATATATTAATATATTATATATATTTTATATTTTTTCAGTATTTAAAAAAAAATAATAAATATTATAGGTACTAATGGGTTTTATTTCCAAAAATGATCGATGTGGTTGTGTGGTTATATCATTGACATAATATAAAATAATAATAATATAATTATGTCTATGGGTTATATATATTTTTTTATTCTCTACCATGATATTATTACCATCGAATATATAATAAATCTGTGGGTATAATATTATGCTGGTATAGATTTCTTATCACGCTTTGGTATCTCCCTACTCGTTATAATAAGAAAACAACATGATATATAATTCCCATATTAATAGGGAAAAAATTGTCTAAAAATAGCAACCACAGAATATTATTTGTTTACATTTTTAACCTTGTCACTTACTTTCTATGGTAGAAATGATATTCTATGGTAGAAATTCTACCACCAATTTTAGTTAGTACGTCGAGAGTACGATTGTTCTAGTCGTGATCGAGAAAGAAGTGAAATACTTAATTATATATATTATATAATACTCATAGGCGTAAATTGGGGGGGGCTTAGGGGGGCTTAGCCCCCCTAAAAAATAGTATAGCCCCCTCATTTTAAATCTCCAAATTTCAATTTTTTGTTAGAAAAATAATTCAATTTATTACGTAATTCCTAAGCAGGAAAGCACCGATAGGTAGGTATAAGATTATATTATGATTTATGAACGTTTAAGTAATAGATTTTGTATTGTAATAAAATTAGAAATGATTGAGTTAGATCAATATTTATTATATTATAACGACAACAATAATAACAGGTTATGTAATATGTTTACGCGAAGTTGGAAGTATATTAGATTCTTAGGCCTTAGTGTCTATTAATAACGCTTATCATATCACAATCGTCTATGTTTATGTAAAAACCCAATACAAATCACAAGCTATTACGATTACGAGTTTACGACAACTGCAGTCTGCAAAAATCATTATTGTGTATGCTACGACGTTAAACACTAAAGACTAAACAGTGAACACTGAAACTAAAAGTTATCCAGTTATAGATGAGAAGCCGGTGGTTTTTTCTGTGGTAATATTAAAAGTTTTAAAACTATTCATTGAGAAGCTAGTGTTTTTTCTGTGGTAACGTTAAAGCTTAAATAATTAACTATTA